TACTCACTCGGATTCATTGGCAGACAACCACAAGGGGGCGCCTCACCTTTCAGGGTTACAGTAGATATCAAAAGTCTACACATCCTTATTGAACTTGCAGCTTTACCTTATGTAAGGGCTGAAATCAAGACAACTCCTGTCAGACCTTCTTTCACCTTTAATATGATCTTTTTACCAAGAATATTTAAGTGAAAATCAAATGTATCATTTTTAGGCACAAAATAAAAACCTTTCAATGCTTTGGTTGCATAAATGAGCACACACTTTATCTAACACTTCACGGAAGCACCTTTTGCTTTGATTACAGCAGTGAGTCTGTTTGGACAGGTCGCTATCAACTCCGCACACATGGGTTTTTCAGTTTTATCCCACTCTTCTCCGCAAAAGAGCTCGAATTCAGTCAAATTGCATGGGGATTTCCTACGCAGAGCCCACATACACACAATTTATTTTTAATTATTTTTTGCTAAAAATGATCCATTTGTTTTTCACTGAAATATTGTTGGTTACAATATCTCATTAAAAGTGAACAGAAACAAAACCCGAAATTTCAACAAGGGTGTAGAGACTTTTGATCTGCACTGTGTATGAAGGGAGGTCCCTTATGCTTACCAAGTGTACTATTTCATTGTGTCGAGTCATGCTGTGACTGTACTGCAGCCTCTGATGCTGCAGGGTTTCAAGCTTCTTTTAACAGCCTCCATGCTTATAGACCTGGAAACCATCGAGAGTTGATTCCGCTGGGCTGTGAAGAGCTCGGGCCGAATGAGGACCAGAGGCAGCTGGTGTCTGGGGCTGCAGTGAATTTCACTGATCTGTGCTCTGCTGTTGCTCGGCAGGCAGTGAATCTGTGGGCTGTCTCTCTGTTCCAGGCTCTGTGACAGCTGGCGCCATGATGGAGATCCTGAGGGACCGGCCTAGTGGGATCTGCATGGACTCGGGGGGTTTTCGCACCACAGGCAGCATGGTGTCCATTCTGCCCCGGGACCCCCGGCGCCCCTGCGTGCACTTCTTCACCGCGACCCCCGATCCCTCCAGGTCAGTGCGAAGGGCCGGCATCTTTCAGGGCGTCTTGTTCTTGACTGAACGGGAAGACGGTAGAGCCTTAACGATCCCCTAACACCCCGACAGGTCTGTGTTCAAGCCCTTTATCTTCACCGAGGCTGTGACCCCTGTGCCGCGGGTCAGCTCTCCACAATTTGGTGCTGCCGACCCGGCCAGGACTCAACCCCGCTTCCAGAGCCGAGTGGACAGGAGGCACGAGCTGTACCGAGCACACGAGGCAGCTCTGTCTGCCATAGAGGC